GTTAAATCTGCCATAGTAAATACACTGGAAACCACAAATATTGAGGAACGAACAATGGGTCATAAGTAAAGAGACCTGGGTCCTGCACTCACTTATGTGATCTTATACAACGTACTTGGGCTTCCCTACACCTCTAATGGTGACAGTTATGTCTATCCCCCCCAAATTGGCATCTTCCCCTCCAGCACGCCTATCATTGCTTACCAGGTAATGGGAAAGTTCCTGAAATTTTCATTCCTAAATGAGAAAGAAGTTTCTGGTGACTTGCAGTTTGCTTCGGAGAGTACAATTTCCAAATTCTTGTCTAATGAGTTCAAGAGATACAAGCACCAATCCTACTGCACTGTAGTTTCTGGCTTTCTATTTAAAAGTTCTGGCTACATAGACCTGCAATGTGCAAATCCCACACCAAGCTTACAGGAGTCTTCTCCATGGCACCCCACTGAGTGTGTGTCTATGCCAGGAGACTACTGTGTTTTGTTACCTGGAGACCCCAGATGATGAGATGTTAGGCAAGCTACCAGTCAGCCTGCAGCCTGCGCATGAAGTTCAGGTTGCTACTGAACAACTTTAGCTGCAGAACTGATAATCCAGGTCTCAGCAGCCTTTCCCTCAGCCATGCCCCCAGCAGAGCTAACTTCCCTGCCCCTGGACAGTGGTCCAGGAGCACATGAACACTGAGAGGTAAGGCATCTTCTCTACTCTCTTCCCAGGCTAAATCTTTGTAGATGACTGACAGGCAGCTGTCAGTAAGGGAAACATTCATGAATAATAGTCTCAGGACAATATTCTCTCTACTGCCTGGGGAATCCTTCTCACCTCATACTTGGGCTCAGAGAGTAAACAGAAAGCCGTCTTACCAGGTATTTGGGTGGGTTCAAGGATTTTCATACCTAAAGGGAGAAATGAATATTTGTTAGTGTTAATCTGTTACTTTGCAATGTTAATGCTTCCCTTTGTCTATACTTACCCCTATCTCTCCAAATTTATCTTCATAAGGCAGTTTTAGTACATAGGTTTTTAAATAAAACAGTACTGAGTTTAAGTTTCTGTTTGGTTTAGCTCTATTGTCATTATATGAAGGGTCTTCAAAAAGTTCATGGAAAGATTCACTATCTTTTAATTCCATTTTTCCATGAATGTTTTGAAATACCCTCATAGTTACTAGCTCTATGACTTTGGGCAGGCTAACTTAAACCCTCTGAACTTCAAGTCTTCATTTATAGTGAGTGAGGATTACAGGAAATGCTGCACAAAGTGCTTGGTTCATTGCATGGAACACACAAAGCACTTAATAAATGAAGTCCCTCTGTTCTAGCTTAAATCATTCCTCAAACTCTCCATGCTCTGTGATGTTCTTAGTCCTAGGAATAATTTCTCCTCCTAACCTTGTAGCTAGTTTCAGAGAGTAAGTAAAAAAGATGATTTACCAGGTAAGGCAGTGAGCTCCTGACTTTTTATTCCTAAGGATGAGAATAAGAACTATTTAGTAAAAAATGCAATCAGCTTGAAAATCAATTTAACTTTACATTTGGCTTTTGTAATGGAAAACTCAGAAAGCTTTGAGAAATGGCAAAGGACAAGGTGAAAGGGAAAAGGAGAGAAGATTTAACCCACTGGAGTCTAATTTATAGTAAGGACTATGGCTAGTAACCCAGGATCTCTCCTAGATTAAGCAAACATCTCTTACTGATTTTCTTTTTTTTAGATTTAGTCCAAAGATTCTGACCCAAAGCTGTCATATTTTTTTTAAAGTTTCCTGATTATAAATAATACATAATTATAGATAACTTAGAAAAATACAGAAAATTTTAAAGAATTAAAAATCATTTAAAATTTCAGATCTCAGAGATATTCATTCGTAACATTTTTGGTGTAATTCATTTCAATCTTTTTGCTTTGTGTACATACGTATACATAGCAAAAAGATTTGGGTTTTTTTATATATGTGTGCATATATACTTTTAATAAAGTCAGTATTATATTCTATACTGTTTTATATCCTATCATTTATTATGAGTACTCTCATATCTTTATTTTTACTTTTCTGGGTGGCTGGCTGGTACCGGGAACCAAAACCTTGACCTTCGTGGTACAAGGCCACACTTAATCAACTGAGCCAACCAGCCTGCCCTATCTTATATCTTTAAATGTTTTCAAAAACATGATTATTTTTAAGTTGCTTAGTGTTTCATAATATAGAGGTAACTTAAATACCCAACGTTTAGACACTAAGGTTGTTTCTAAATTTTTGCTACCATAACACTGTGATAAGCATTTCTGAACACAAACCTTTGTGTTAATCTCTAATTTCCTTGACAAAAATATCTGAAAGTGTTATAACCAGGCCAAAACACATAAACATTTTAAAGGCGAGTAATAACACATACTATCAAATTGCCCTTCAGAAAAGTTGTTTGAATTTATAATCTCACCAGTTTTATGAGAATGTTCCTGTTGCAGAACCCTTGAAGACATTTGAGTTAAATCATTAAAAAATAAAACAAAAACAATAACTTGGGGATAAGTTGTACCTTGGAATGTACTAAATAATTAAATGGATATAGCTAACTGCATCTGATACTCAGATTGCTGGAGATGAAATAAATATACAGAATCATCATTTTAGTTTAGGGAAAAAAAACTATTTTTTTCCTAAATTAAAATTGTATTTTTTCTTGCTCAACACTCTCAGTCACAAGAGTTTGTGGAATAATTAGTCACATCTTCCTCTATTTGCTGGGATGACCTAAAGATTGTTAGACAGGAAATACAGAATTTCTATGTCATTTTTAGAAATAATTCTATCCGAAACCCAGGAGGGTCTCTGATATACCAAACAAGTAAGCTAAGGTGGGTTCTGCTTTCTTTTCACTTTTCTTTATCATGCCATGCCTACCTGATTTCACAAAGGGAACTGTTTTGCAAAACGTAAGCACCCAGAGTTTATGATAATGTCTTACCAGGGTCTTCAAGTTTCTGGTTTCTATCACCTAAGTCACAAAAAGAAATAGTCAGTTTTAACGATGGAACAAAAGAATTGGGAGTTACTATAACTATAGCAAAACTATTTTTAAGTAATATGGCCATAAAGAACCACTTGGTATGTCCAGTAAACTACTGCTACTGAATTTAAGTGTCAGAGTCTAAATATACTTTGGCTAATAGGCTGAAACCTTCTTCTGGACCTTTCTATTCAGAAAAAAACATCACATTCTGTATAGCTAGTCTCCTGGCAATCTCAAGAAGCCCCCCTCCCAAAAAAATCTATTTTGAAGAATTAGCTGAGGTCCCTGTGAAGTTATCAGTAGAACTTGTGGTTGCAGTGGGCCAAGAAGAAGAGTGATTGTTAAGCAAGTCCTTAGGGGCATGAAATGCTTGACTTCTATCAGGACAGGAAGTATCTTCCCAAACATATAGTATTTAAGAAAGGCTGGATCCTTTTCTCTCTTTAACAAGGGAAAACTGATTGTAGCTACACGGGCCAAAGACATAATAGGAGCTTAAACGCAAAGAAATAATTTGGGCCATTATCTCCATAAGTGGAAACTTAAAAATAACAGCATCTAATCACCCAGATATTTTAAACGTTAAACATCAGCATATTTGAGACATGCAAACATGCTGAGTTTTCTATTTTCATCTGAATATGTGGGGTCACACAGACTAATGTCAATGACAAGAGTCATTGGCTCTTTGGGTTCTACCACCCTTACTCCCCAGAATGTCACCATATTGTTCAGATCTCTATAGAGCCAACTCTCCCATTTGAGGGAGATAAATCTCCCCAGAATAGGTTTTTTTGGATTTTTCACCTTCCTCATATCTGCCAAGTTACTGTTTTATATCTGCAAAGTACTCCTTTTCTTCAGCTAAGAGCTAAATTTGCAAAACAGTTTTTAATTGAAAGAGCTATTAAACACCCATGTAAGGATTATTTTTAAAAATTAGAGCATACTCACCAGGGTTGTAGACATAGATGGGTTGAAAATAATCTGAAATACAAATATATTTTCATTACATAGTACTATGCTCAGATGTGAATATCAGGTTCGGTCCACTTTTAAATGCTTACTAATAATAAAGATTTGAGTTGGCTTACATTTAAGATACATATAATATGGTTATTATAAGAAATACAAAATTTTAATCCAAGACAAATGGACATAAATTCATTTTAATTACATGAAGAAGAATTCATAGAAAAGCTAGCCAAGAAGACAGCTAGAAATTGACCTTTCTTTTCAAACTTTTTAATAAGGTTATCTTCAAAAAAATTCATCCACAGCATGCATCACTCCAATGATGACAACTGGTAACTTTGGTTGAAATTTTGGGACTATTTGATAATGCTGTTCCTGAATACTGTTAGAATTTTCTGTCTACCTTCCCAAGTCTTTCCCACAGTGCTCTAAGAAAGATGATTTTTGTTACATCCTCCTATTTTTCCCTGAGGAAGGTGAAATAGACTGTATTAGCATTCTGTCATCCTGTCCTCTCCACCTTGAACCATATTCACTTCATTCTTCCATTAGTCTCCCAAATGTTATTTCCTATTATATAAAACACAGGAATAGGAACATAGCTCTTAGGAGCTCAAAGGAGCCATGTGGGAAATGGCTAAAGATGTAGGGACATTCAGGAGTATTTAAGCTCTTGTAAAGACAGGCTAAGGTGAGAGTGGCATGTTCCCTGCATGCCCAGGGCAATGCAATGTTTGGGAAAACATCCATAGGCAAGGCTGGGGGCCGCAAGAGGGTAAGCAAGCAGTGGAGGCTCCTGGGCTCTCCACCTGATAATGTAGGAGCATTAGCACAATTTAGCCTTGAGAAAATAATGGCTGACAGTGGGACAGTCCAGTGGTGGGGTGGCTCTAACCCAGACCTGTGAGAAATAACACTGATAAAATTCTCATTACAGAGACAATACTCTAAAGCATATCTTACCTAGGTTCTCAACACAATTTTCAGTTTTTAGTCCTGAAACACAAAGATAAAGCTTTATTAATTAGACATCATCTATTCTAGTAAAAATTTCAGTTCATCTGTGGCTATTGGTAATCTAATATGTCAGCTCCTAGTCTATCAGACCCATAACTTAGCAGGATGCAAATTGTAAAACAATTATATTTTTATATTCATAGTAAAGCCACCAAACAGCTGCATGACCTTTGACAAAACATCTAACCTTTCTGGAATTTGGATTCCTTACCTGCATCTTTTACTGGGAGACTACTGCAAATGACCTTCAAAATCTCATCTAGGGCTACCACTTAATCATATTCTATTAGTCTACAAAAGTTAGGAGAAAATTTACTTGTCCAATTAAACCTCTCTTCAGATACTAAACATCCTCAACAGCAAACCTATCCCTCTACTATGAGAATTCCTGTCCCATGGAGAGAAAGACTATCAGTCAGATCTTCAAGATCCTTTAATATATAAACAAACATCCTTCACATTCACATAAAGAAGCAGAGGTGATATGCCCAGAAGATTCATCTGTATGTGAGGAAATCCACAATATTTGAAGAACATGGCATCTAACTACCTTTGTAAGGCCCTAGATGGTCTTGCTGGTGATGCCCTAGAAAAAGTCATCAGTGCTGCAGTGATTCCCCTGAAACTTGACAGAAAGGGGAATCTGCCAGCCTCTCGAAGGCCCCACCCTCCAAATACTATCACAATGGAGATTAGCGCTTCAAAATATGAATTTGAAGGTGACAGAACATTAAGTGTACTGAATGTTAATACTACTAACAGGTGTTAAGTAGAGACATGGAGGATATAAAAATACCCAAATTGAACTAGAAATAAAAATCCTGAGATAAAAAAATACACTAGATGGAATTACTGACAAACTAGACAATGCAGAAAAAAGATTAGTGAACTTGAAAACATACTGCGGTACACAGAATAATACCCTCCCAAAGAGGTCCACATCCTCATCCCTAAAACCTGTGACTATATTACTTTACATGGCAGAAGAGAACTAAGGATTAAGATGCAACTAATGTTGCTGATTAACTGACCTTTAGAGGGGCAATTAGCCTGGATTATCCAGGTGAGCTCAATCTAATTATGTAAATCCTTAAAAGTAAAAGAAGAGGTAGATGAGAAGGTCAGAGAGAGGTGATGCAAAGAGTACTCAACATGCTGTTCCTAGCTTTGAAGATGAAGAAAGGAGGCCGCAAACCAAAAAATGCATGTAGCCTCTAGAAACTGAAAAAGACAAGGAAACAGATTCTTGCCTAAGCCTCCAAAAAGGAATGCAGCTCTACCAACACCTTAATTTTATTTATTGATTTTTTAATTTATTTTTAAATTGACACTTAATTGTAAATATTTATGGGATATAGAGTGATATCTCGATACATGTGTACAATGTGTGATGATCAAATCAGGGTAATTAGCATATTCATCACTGCAAACATTTATCATTTCATCATGTTGAGAACATCTGAACGTCTCTCTTCTAGTCATTTGAAAATATACAATAAAATATTATTAATTATAAATACCTAGCACTACTACAGAACACAAGAACTTATTCTTTATATCTAGCTGTAAGTTTGTATACGTTAAACAAGTGCTCCTTATTTCTTCTTCTCTCCTCTACCCTTTCCATCCTCTAGTAACCACAATTCTACTTTCTACTTACATAAGCTCAACTTTTTTTCAGCTCCCACATATGAGAACATGCCATATTTATTTTTCCATGCCTGATTTATTACGCTTAACATAATGTCTTCTAGGCTCATTCATGTTGCTGTGAATGACAGAATTTCATACCTTTTTATGGATGAGTAGTATTTCATTGCAACACCTTAATTTTAGCTCAGTGAGACCCATGTTAGACTTCTGAAATACAGAACTTTAAGATAATAATTCTGGGGCCGGCCCGTGGCTCACTCAGTAGAGTGCGGTGCTGATAACACCAAGGCCACGGGTTCGGATCCTATATAGGGATGGCCGGTTTGCTCACTGGTTGAGCCTGGTGCTGACAACACCAAGCCAAGGGTTGAGATCCCCTTACCAGTCATCTTTTTAGAAAAAAAAAAAAAAGATAATAATTCTGTGTTGTTTTAAGCCTCTAAATTTGTGGTAATTTGTTATGGCAGCAATAGAACATTAATATATATATATATATATATATATATATATATACACACACACACACAAAA